CTTCAACACCGCCGTTTTCGGCGCTGCGACTCGTTCTGCTGGTGATGAATCGAGCTTTCAAAATCCGTCCAGAGGGGTGTGTTATCTTGTGTCATATACGGCAGCACATCGTTGCAGCAAACACGTCGGGGTGTACAGGTACCATATTGTAGCACAACATGTTGTGCGTACTGCTGTAGGTGTCTCTAGTACCAGAACAACTCATGTGGACGTGGATATCACGTTGGGCGATTACAATTGTGCGTACGAAGCATGCCGTCGAAAATTCAAAAATTCCGGCTGACGACCACATATCACAAAAAATGTGGTCGTCGTGTACAAATCAACATACGCCGCCATCTCTTTTGTAAGAGTGCCACCTACTTCAAGTCCCTAAAAGAACATGCTCGACGTAAGTTCAGCCTGCGGCATGACTGGCCGCGTGCAGTAGGTAAAGCAGCAGTCGCTGGCACGGCGTCACGTGTGCTGCCGTTGCTCCGACCCCAGAAAAAACAAAAAAATCAAAATTGCATGATCATGTCCACATCGTGTTTGTACAAGTGTAAAACTGCGCAGTTCACGACTTGCCTGCTGGAAGCGTAGTACCCGCTGCAACAGGTGGGACTAGATTCTCCTTGCTGACCTCGCAGGGCTGACCACGTTGGCTGCCCTCCCAGCTGTACCTGAAGGCAAGGCTGCCCCCAAGCGCTTCCTGCTCTGTCTTGCACAAGGGGGCGTGCTTCCTCGTTGCCCTGTCTCCTTTCCGGCTTGTGATTTTGAGCCGTAGCCGCCACTTCCCCTTAGACCTCTCTGGATAGCATACGGGTTCAGAGGTTCTCTGCCAGCCATTGCGTGTGACTGCTGCTACTAGGCTCTCCATGCTGTGCACTCCTCGGTGCCAGCGGGTGCTGTGTGCATCCGTTGTGCACAATTTCAAAAAAAATGAAATTCCGCCGCAAAAAAAAGCATAGACTATATATTTTTCCCGACTCCGTTTTAAACGGACCGACTTTTCTGTCAAAATTTTCGACGTTTGTCTTTCAAAAACTTGGAACCTGTGTGCAGTCATTTTAAACGTGTGACGTGGACTTGTGCAACTTGTTGTGTCAAAAAAAATGACGCCGTCCGTGAGTTGTAGCGCTCACTTCGAGACAACACACACGACACAACACAAACCGCGGAAAACACGACATCATGGACACCGACATGGATATCACGACCACCCAGCGTGGCCGGCAGACCAAAACCCCGGCGAAATTCCAGCAGACGGGCTCTCTCGGTGCCGCCGTAGGCGGTGGAGGCTTGCTCTCCAGCAAGATAGTGCTGCTGCCTGGCATCTCGGGGAACACTCATGTTACCACGGGAGGCGCTGCCGCCACCAACACTCCGCCGGCGAGGGGTGGCAACCACTGCTCCTACCCCCCCGGGAAAAGGAAAAAACAAAGCGGCGGACGCGAAGCAACAACTGCAAGCCATCATGGCGGACCGCCGTTTTTCGGACGACACAGCAACAGCAGACAGCATCGTCAACGTTGGCAACAGCGACGATAGCAATAGCGACAGCGACAGATGACTCACACACAACCCTAGCTGGCTTTCTACGGCGAGGGGCACTCGTGGTGCAGACGCAGCAGCCCTCGCGTGCCTCTGCAAGGGTACTTTGGAAAGTGCTCCAAATACTTTGAGAGGGTTGTCAAAAAGTTGGAACGAAGTGGAGCAAAGTTTTCGCGCCCAACTTTGTTCCAAATATTTTTGAAAAAAATGGACGAACGCCAACATACAGGTTCCATTTTTTCGACACTATCAAAAATTTTGACAAGAAGTCGGTCCGTTTAAAACGGCCCTTTTATTAGGAGGATTGCCATTTTTGGAGAGAACGTGTTCAACAGGATTTCTAGAGGCATGGTCAAATCCGCTGTGATTGGCTGATTGAGCAGATGTGCCGAGCTCGTTCCAATTCTGATTCCTTCAACATTTAGTCTATGGCTGAAAGACTGAATGTTAGCTTCTTGGCTGGCCCAGCTTGTAGTCGCGGAATATCCGTGGTACAAGAACGAGAGGGAAGTGTACGTGACTGAGCTGGGAAAACAAGATGGGACGTACAGGGAGATGGTTGAGGCATGGAATGGAGAGGAAAGGACGGTAGCTGTACTGGGGCATAGGAGGTGGGTTGAAAAGGCGGGAAGGGATATCGTTAGGATAGACAGACTAGGGAAGACATTTTGAGCCACCTTTGGCAAAGTAGAAAGGAACGATTGGCCATCGGTGATCGGTCCTGTGGGAACAATGCTCCGTCCTCTCGAGGACGCGTGGTCAATGGTCTAACCGCTAAGGCGTGCAAAACATAAGAGTAGCCCCTCCTATGTGACCCCGGTTGGGTTGTCTAGCTGGTAGAAGGGGAGGAAATGGGCCAGAGGGGCAGACGACAGAGTCCAATTGTTAGATATACTCGCAGCAGTATCTGGTCGTGAGGATCCCAGGGGATACGTGTTGGGAATTTCGTGTGTAGTAGGGTACCACCGGTGCAGTCACGGGGATCCTTTTGGGGTGGTTGATGCGATGGAGCTTGCGTGCGTGCTGCGCACTTCTTCCCTCTCTCTCTCCACCACCACCACCGTCTCTCTCCAATCAAGTTTCCTTCTCCCACTCTCTCTCCAACTCTATCTCAACCTCTCCCTCTCGGTCTAACACGGCCGACTACCCAGTGCCCCAAGTAACGTCCAGAACGCGCTTGCTGCACCCCGCGTAGTTTACCTTTCACACTAGTGCGATATCACGGTATCTGCGCGCGG